TCCACACACTCAGGGAGTTGCTCTAATGCTGTCCAAAGAAGCACCAAATGCACTTGTGGGATGGGAATCTCATGGACGCAGGATAATCAAAGCATCATTCAGAACAAAGAAGCAAGGGATCACAATGAACATTATCCAATGTTATGCACCCACCAATGATAGCAACGACGATGATAAAGATCAGTTCTATGAAAGGCTGCAATCAATTATAGAGAAGTGCTCACGAAAGGACCTCACCATCCTGATGGGAGATCTAAATGCTAAAGTTGGAGTGGACAACACAGGATATGAAGATGTAATTGGACGACATGGATTAGGAGAGAGAAATGAAAATGGGGAGAGGCTTGCAAACCTATATGCATTCAACAAATTGGTTATAGGCTGCACAATATTCCCACACAAGCGCATACACAAAGCTACATGGTTCTCACCGGACCAAACCACAGAGAACCAGATAGATCACATCTGTATCAACAAAAAGTTCCGAAGATCAATGAAAGATGTGAGAACCCGGAGAGGAGCTCACATAGCTTCAGATCACCACCTGGTTGTGGCCAAGATGAGACTGAAGCTAAAGAAAGACTGGACAACTGGACAAACAGCACTACGAAGGTTCGATACAGCCTTCCTTCGAGATACTGACAAGCTCCATGAATTCAAGATAACTCTCAACAACAGATTCCAGGCTCTACAGGATCTACTGAAAGAACAAGAAACTACTTTGGAGGACAACTGGAAAGGGATAAAAGAAGCACTAACTTCAACGTGTCAGGAGGTTCTTGGTCCTAAGAAGCATCATCACAAGGAATGGATCTCTATGGGAACCCTGGACAAAATTCAAGAAAGGAAGAATAAGAAACTAGCAATTAACAACAGCCGAACACGAGCAGAGAAAGTCAAAGCACAAGCAGACTACGCAGAAGCAAACAAGCAAGTGAAGAAAAGCATTAAAGCCGACAAGCAGAAATACATGGGAGAACTGGCAACGACGGTGGAAAAAGCTGCAAGAGAAGGGAATATGAAACAACTATATGATACAACGAAGAAATTGGCAGGGAGATATAGCAAACCAGAGAGACCAGTCAAGGACAAAGAAGGAAAGACAATCACTGAGATTCAAGAACAGAGGAAAAGATGGGTAGAATACTTTGAGGAACTGCCGAATAGACCAGCCCCATTGAGTCCACCGAACATCGAACCAGCACACACTGACCTTCCTATAGATGTCACTTCACCAACAATCGAAGAAGTCAAGATGGCCATCAGACAAATCAGAAGTGGGAAGGCGGCAGGACCTGACAACATACCAGCAGAAGCACTGAAGTCAGACATTGAAATAACTGCAAACATGCTTCACCTTCTATTCAAGAAGATTTGGGAAGAGGAACAAGTGCCAATGGACTGGAAAGAAGGATATCTTATCAAAATACCAAAGAAAGAAGATTTGTGCCAAGTGAGAACTACAGAGGCATCAGTTTGTTATCAGTACGAGGAAAAGTTTTCAACAGAGTGCTGCTGAATCGGATGAAAGACGCAGTAGACGCCGAACTAAGGGATCATCAGGCTGGATTCCGTAAGGATCGGTCGTGCACAGACCAGATTGCAACACTACGGATGATCGTTGAACAATCAGTTGAGTGGAACTCATCACTATACGTCAACTTCATCGACTATGAGAAGGCGTTTGACAGCGTGGACAGGAGAACATTATGGAAAATTCTTCGACACTATGGAGTTCCTGAAAAGATTGTCAACATTATCCAAAACTCATACGATGGACTACAGTGCAAAGTGGTGCATGGAGGACAGCTGACAGATGCATTTCCAGTAAGGACCGGAGTCAGACAAGGCTGTCTACTCTCCCCATTCCTCTTCCTTCTAGTGATTGACTGGATTATGAAGAATTCGACATCTGACGGGAAATACGGAATACAATGGACTTCTCAGAATCAATTAGATGATTTGAACTTCGCAGATGACCTAGCCCTCCTCTCTCATACACACGAACAAATGCAGATGAAGACCGCAAATGTAGCAACAGCCTCCGCATCGATAGGCCTCCACATTCACAAAGGAAAAAGTAAGATTCTCAAGTGCAACACGGAGAACATCAACCCAATCACACTTGATGGCGAAACCCTGGAAGAGGTGGAAACATTCAAGTACCTGGGGAGCATAGTTGATAAACAAGGAGGATCAGATGCAGACGTAAAGGCGAGGATTGGCAAAGCAAGGGCAGCATTTCTGCAATTGAACAACATATGGAACTCAAAACAACTTTTAAGTAGTTTCAAAGTGAGAATCTTCAATATGAACGTCAAGACAGTCCTACAGTATGGAGCTGAAACGTGGAGAACTACTACGGCCATCATCAGGAAGGTACAAGTATTTATAAACAGTTGTTTACGCAAAATACTCAATATTCACTGGCCGGATACTATCAGCAACAGCGTTTTATGGGAGAGGACAAACCAGCTTCTAGATGAAGAGGAAATTAGGAAAAGACGTTGGAAGTGGATAGGACATACATTAAGGAAATCACCAAACTGCATCACGAGGCAATCCCTAACTTGGAATCCGGAAGAGAAGAGGAAAAGAGGAAGGCCAAAGAACACATTATTTTGGGAAATAGAAGCCGATATGAAAAGGCTGAATAGCAACTGGAAAGAACTGGAAAGGAAGGCTCAGAACAGAGTTGGATGGAGAATGCTGGTGAGCGGCCTATGCTCCTCGACGAGGGGTAACAGGCGTAAGTAAGTAAGTAAGTAATATGCTACATATGTGATTTGATTGATTCTAACAATATAGATACAGGCCTACCGACTGACAACTTGAAAGAACTATTGTTACATTACACTTTTAATTTCCAATTCAGGTTCAACAGTGAATTATCTAAACAAAGAGATGGGATCGCAATGGGGTCTCCATTGGGCCAAATCTTAGCAGACTGTTTTATGTTAAAGTTGGTAAACAACCAACTTAGCTGGATCATCAATCGATTTAATCTATGTATAAGATATATGGACGACACGTTTAACAGTGGACAAAAATGGAACGGCCAGCTGACCAATTTCTATAGCTGGGTTCCACTAAGCAGAAAGGGGAATCTTATTCACTCTTTATGTTATCGAACACATTACAGATGTAGTACTGAACGCATCGACAAAGAACTTGGCTATTGGCTTTCATCAACTTTCTCTATCCATGATGTAAGTGTGATGACTATTTGCCTACCAAAGAGCGGCTGTACAATGAAAAAGTCGGTGCTCTGTTACCACACAGCTGTAAGACAAGGCCCATTACACTAGGATGCATATATAGGGTGTAATGTTACTTGATAATAATGGAGCCCCCAAATGAATATTGTTCAGGTTAAGTGTAAAGGTTTAAGTAGAAGTTGCAGATCAGTTGATAAATTTGTAGAAATACATCACTACGTTAGTGAGGGGCAGATCTTGGATACCCATCCTGACATACAGTGCTGACTGGCATAAGATTAGTTTGGAAGAAAGCCACCAAATGAAGACTTATCACTACTTCACGAGGTTACTGATTGCTGACGTGAGAAGCATGGGAATATGTAGGCTTCGCGGCTGAGGCTTGATCTGAAATCATCATCTATTGTAGAAAACTTTAGCAGCCCTATATCTAAATTCAGTTAGATCGTGTGATGATCCTATTGAAATACACATTCCGCCAACCCTCGTATAAATTTATCAACTTAACTCGCGTTAGTGAATAACGGAATTAAATAAGTCTAGTACGAAAATGAAGTTTGAATGCATATATTTCATACGGTCGTTGGTCTGAACAGACAATCAGAGAGACGGAGCGAAGGAAGCGGAGAGGAGCGAAACTAAAGGACGCCCAATGGAGAAGGAGAGTGGGACAACTCAGTTTAACTAAGCGTGAATCGATATTTATAGTCAAACAAAAATAAGTTACAAACATGTGATGAATAGGATAAGAAGTGCACACACAGACGCTAATATAAATACAGTCAAGGTTGATAAGCGAATAATCAACAAGGTCAAAATGTGACTCAAGAAGAACGGATAAATTGGGCTGTTCGGAGGCTTGAATAACCTATGTGGGCTAGACTTAGCAACCGACACTACAAAACATTTAGTGACATAGTCTAAAACAAGTTGTAGTCTTTGTTTTTTATTATACTTCAAATTGATTACATACGTTGCATTCTGCCTTTCATACTTTTCGAAAAACGTTTCTTATTTTCCTACTAAAATTGACTTCAATGCTTTCCATTTTATTAATTTCTAGTTTCCGTTCTGATTTAAGACATGGGATCTTGAACCGAAACACATTTATAATAGGTTCTCCATACTATCCACAACTGTGGTGTGCGTTACTGATGCTGATAGATATAAGTAATATATATCATCAATCGTAAGTGAAATCCCTGGAGGCAGAAGGTTAAGAAGATCGAAGAAAAGGCAACGAGAACAAAAGATGATAAGTGCGGAAGCGAAGGGACAATAAATTTTGAGACGATTGACTGATATTTTGCAAATAAAGTATTTAATGTAAAGTTCTCAGATTTTACTAAGAGATTCTGTAATTTCGTATTCAAATACATACTATTATCACCACTGGTGTTCTCGTTCTGTACATAACTGACATGATAGACTACAGATCTACCAATTTTTTAGATTAACAACTCACTGAATACAATTGGTGAACGGTTGCTCAAACTTCGTGGATTGGTTGAAGTTAGACATTAACACCATTGGATGCCGGCTCAGTGGTCTATCGGTTAAGTGCTCTGGCGCGAGACTGGTAGGTCCTGGGTTCGAATCTCGCGAGATGGGATCGTGGATACGCACTGCCACTGAGGAGTCCCATAATAGAACGAAACGGCCGTCCAGCGGTCTCAGGTTTTCGATGGTGGTCTAGCTTCAACTGACTCATGATTTCAACTATGAAAAATATCTAATACAATATAAATCACCTAACAGGAGGAATATAAAAGCAAAATTATATATGAACTATTAATTATTTATTAATTCACCATTAACAAAATGAATATTTTTAAGCTAAAGAAAATTCCTTTGTCATTATTAAATCATAATCATATAATTAAGTTGAAATGATTCACGATCAGATCATCCAGTTTTGAAGGGTAATTGGTGTAATACACATCATTCAATAAGTTGCATTCATTTCATTTAATTAGAACAAAATCTAAAATGTATGTTATGTAGCTTTATTATTCACGTTGTAAATTGTAGCTAAATATTCCTCTCTTTGTATTATTATCATTGAAACAAACGAGTGTTTATTACAATTTAATAATCATAATATCACTTCCAGAATATTCACATGTGATAAACATACAGGCCTATTCTAATATGTGTAACATACAATAATCGATTTTTTACCAATAACACATCCTATCACAATAGATAGATTATATTCCATATAAAATAGAATTGATTATTTTAAATTACTCATATGACTAAATTTGATCCTATTCCAGACTTGCATTTATAAGTTTAGTTGAAATATATATAGACTGGGTCATTATTTATCACAGTTACACTGGTTAAACTATGGAGAATCACTATTTAAAATCGAACGAAGAAAAGTTATATTTAAACAATTCTACCCTGTTAACAAAAGGTATAGAAATTATTAAAAAAGAAGAAAACAATTGTAATGTCAATGATAATAACAGCCTAAATTCAGAAATAATCTCCGTCAGTTCTGTAAGTTAATATTGGCTTATTAAAATCCTATCATCTTTATTCAAAAAGGATATTAACAGCAGTTGTCCTGTTGATTACTTCACTCTTGCAGAGACTAGTGAATTTTCCGAGATTATGAAGCAAGACATTATGGTATTTCAAATATGTAATAAATTTAAGTCAATTTAGTTGCCTTCACACTTAATTTCCAATCAGGAGACTATTGAGAGGAAAGAGTATTCTGAGAGGGAGATTACTTACAATGTAAGTGCTATTGTTGTAATCTTACTGTTAATTTCTTTCCTGTTAAATAAGCTCTTTTTACGTAGACTAGTTGATGAATATCTTGACAGAAAAATCACTTATTCACACCAACCAAAGTATATACTGGGTGTTCTGAAATGTGTACTGGAGAGGAATTTTCCTGAATTCAGTGATTCATTTCATTGTGAAAGAATATGCGCTTATCTGAAAGCATGCAGACGTAATGCCAAAAGAAAGAATGGTGAACCGTATGTGAGAATAAGTGCACGTTATCTAAGTTCTGGAAAGGCGTCCAGTTTGGCTGAAACAATTTACCTGAAAGAGCACAGTTATTTAAACAATATGATTTCAGTGAGTGATTATCTGTAGAAATGAATAATGACAATTTTAGAGTGCGAAAAACAATAAGTTGGTTGCGCAAGCAGCACCGATGAGTGGTTATCATGAGATCACTGAAAATGAGATCCAAAACACAAACAAGCTCATTCATCATCAATTACAATTACATGAATCTCATATCCAACAGGTTGACCCACAAATTACTACACACATGACGATCTATAATGATGACAACATGAAGATTAACAACAGTTATGATATTCCTGTAAATTCCGATGAAGAGATTCCTACTTCATTGAATTCTGCTTCTCAACAAGTGAGTGCATTCATTAATATCTGCCTATTTAATTATGATGTATAGAACATAGATGGAATTGCATTTGTGAAATTACTAGAGCAAACAGCTGAATTTCTTCAACTAATAGCCAATCGTCTAGATGCTGGTCAAGAAATGTTTCCCTAAAATAAACTTAATAATGTCGAATCATAAACTGTACAATTTAGATACATTATTTGTTCATGATGTTCATACTCTCTTTTGAAGTGTTTAATTATTATTGACGTTTGCTCGTAAGCAAATATTCTTTTTTTTAAGCACTAATACTGTCGTTTCTGTAGGTGTCACATTTCAGAATTATGTAACGGATTTTAGCTAAACATAATCAACGTAGAGCCTAGAACAAAAGTACGTTACTCCAAGCTGCGACACCGCGTTAGCATGATGAGATAAAATTGGTAAAATGAATGACAAATGAGTAGAAATAATGTAATAGCAATCGTATTCAGACATACTAAACATTGAGAATATGTTTTGGAAAGATGGAATGAAAACCCATATACAAAGGAACGCTGTAACTGAAGATTAGGAGAAAAGGAGTGAATGCATTTGCTCTATCATGATTGATTCTGAACCATCTCACCCAACGTATGTAACGATTTTACTACTTACAGGTTCCACACTTTGACTGTGTGAGGACTAGTTAAACTAGTCAGGAGCCAAACCGAAGGCGGGTCTTGGTTCGAATCTGTGATTCAATAATTGAAAGCAAGAAATGACTTAATACCTTAATCACCATTCAAAGTAGTGGGAATACGATTAGTGTTACAACAAATGGTCGCAGTCATTGAATTAGAATCACGTATTTTTTGAAACTTTTTGTCAGATAATATAACATTAAAATTATGGTTTGGTTTATATTTTATAGACCACTCAATAATAACTAATGTCACGTTATTCAGTCCTTGATTTTAATCGGACCTTATTGATTAAGCTGCAATGTGACTATTTGGTCAAGCAACTTAACACTACAGTACAATTTTGTTTAATGTTAACAAATACGTTTTACGCACATGATAATTAGTAACATTTGTGAAAAAAATTAATGATTTATGTAAAATTCGATCAAAACCTCCAAATAAATTTGGCTCAGAATTTTGCTCTAGTTAGATTTTAAACAGTAACTTGCAATAAGCCGCGAACCGTCAGACTTATTTTTTCTACTCGTTGGGAAATATTACAAATACATTATCTTGTTGTCTCGATGAAAGGTTGAACTGTATCAACAATTAAGTCATTAGTAAGGGAAAGTCTCTTTTTAACAGGTAAGTTAAAAGTAATAGGGAAAAAACTGACAGCAATCTAATTAGCAAAGGTATTAAAAGGATGAGCTTGCTTTTGTCAGATGATTGTTATTAATAACGCAAGGTTCATTAAGTTTTTTAACTTGAGACGGTTGTTTATGTCACATAATCTCAACTAGAGAACTACTGAAAGCCATTGAGGATTCGACAACTGTCTAATTTTGTAAGATTAAATCAGCTCATTTACCAGATACTAGGGTATAGGCCATACTCTAGTGATACTACGTGGTTGACCAAACCAAAGTAGGCGAGGCGGAGTTCGAACCTGGGACTTGGTGGTTAAAAGTCGAACAGCTTAATGACTATGCCACTGCTCCACACTTAGTATGATACCATAGTAGATCTATGATCTTCTAGCTAAAATAATTTCATCATTTTCAAAGCTAATAATTGTGTTTCAAAATGTATACAAATTTAAAGATTATAAACACCAATGAGGAAGATAAAAACGAGAAAAAAATTCTAGTCTTCACTTCAGTTATACGAAAAATGTATGTCCGTTATTTTTTCATAATGACTAATTTTTGTTTTGCTAAGAAACCAAAGGACACTCAAATCATCAATACAATTCCAAAATAACTATCCCCTCATTTGATGAATATGACAGAGTACACATCTATAATTAGTAAACACAAAAGGTTGATACCTGTCAATTATAAGTATTTACATATTAATATTGAGTTAGGTTTTAACACTGCAATGTTTTAGAGAATATTATAGATTCTAAAGCAAATAACTTACATACACATAACCTTATTATTATTAGCAGTAGATTGCTTAAAAAATATTTCATATATCATAATAGTTATACCATCCCTATTATCCAAAGAAAAAGTCCATTTAAATAGAAAATATCACTCACAATCGATTGATCACTGGGTGGTGATCAATGTCATGCGTGTCAAGTCCTTCTTAGTGCTGATCGAATACTATCGATCAAGTGGTAACGTCTCTGACTGTGAAGCTGAGTGACACAGGATCGAATCCATCAGGTAGCACCAGTTCCCTCAAAGTTACAGGTACACCTTGCTGAAGAGTGTCAAGTAGCACGAAACCCGGGTCCAGGGTTTTTTGTTGACCACCTCCAACCACCATCTTATCTCAGAAAATATCACTATTTACGAAGAAGTAATAGGTTTGTCAATGAATTTATTGAAAAAAGATGACTTCTCTGAATTAATTGTTTTAAGGTTATAAATGAAGAAAAGTGGAAATTATGAAGTGGTTTACATTTTTAAAATGAGTATATATATGTGATAGGAAAATCAATCACTAAGGGCTTGATTGTTGAAATAGTGAAATTTAAGATATTACAAATCAAGATTGGTATAAGCTGATGAATTACTATAACACGAAAAGATGAATAGTAAACAGTTCAAAGAAACAGAAGTCTATGTATTTATAGAAAGCACTAAACACAGAACATAGTTCGAATAGAAGGAATGAATTCGTGGAATTAAAAGTGTGAAGTAACATTGAAGCCTAAGAGCTAAGGAGAGATAATAAATGAATAACGTCTGGAAAATTGAGACCGATTTCGAGTCCGATCGCTTAATGTCTCCAACCACTGATCATGAATATCACGTTGTGCCTGACGAGGGAATCAACACTACCCCATACAATTCACCTTAACAGTCAATGGCTTTATGGACTAGTAGTCTATTTTGGCTTGATCCCCACCTCACCTTTTGTTCAACCTACTTCGACACCAAAAAGCAAATATTAAAGAGTACAATTTGAGCATGAACTAAGAGAATGAAAAAAGAGAATACACAAGTTTAGACTGAGAGTATTAATACTAGAAATAACTAAACATATATGTACTGTCAAGTGTAATTTTCAGTTTCGCCGTACAACTCAAATATTTTTCGTTTTAAAAATATCGGCTAAATATCCTATTTGTTTATGCACCTTCTATGGAAATTCCATGACTTAGTAAAGCATAATTTGCATTACAATTCTCAACTAATGTCTATACTCCATCCCATGAGACACATTCAAATACCGGCAATATCCACCTAGTGTCATTATGCTGTAAAGTTGACGATAACTATTCTCTAGGAACACATTTTTTAAAAAGATACGATATTATTTATTCAGCAATTTCAATGTATTGATCTTGAAGAAATAAATAACAATAATTAAGAGGTATATAGGCTAAATCATATATATTTGAAATAATACATCATACAAATGGCAACGATATCAAATTTAATCATCATCATTATTGAGTACATTTCAAAACAAGTGTGATCCTATTGAGCTGTGGTGTTGTTTTTTCTCATTTCCAAAGACTGTTATACACAAATACGTACACAGACCTAGTATAATATTATGTTAAATTAAGAGAAAAAATATCAATAGCACTAAGTCATTGGGAAGACATAAGTATTAACAATTGATCAAATATCTAGTTTTTTTTTTGCATAATTTCAGCAGTAGTAGAAACATAGAAGGAAAAAAGAACAACTTTTCTGGAGCAATCAGAAGTTGATATGATAATAAAGAATGGAAGTGAGAACTGCAGAACAGAAAAAAAGACGAATGAACAATAACATTTAGACAGAAACGGTACTCATGAGTAGTACTAAAAGTGAGAAAGAAGTTAATTTCAGAGAACCCAACTATTACACTTATACAAGTATGTAAAGCATTAACGGAATTCTTCTATGTAGACAGGTGATTAACCATGTGAATCTTACATAAATTAATATACAAAGCCAAATAAGGACAGACGAACAGTTGCTGAGACTGTGTTCCCCACATAGAAAAAATATGCATTGTCACGAACAGATAATAAGATTTGAGATAATAAAAATCAATTTCGGTGTCAAACACAAAGAAAAACGAAAAAGATAATTTCCTAAATATTCAGGAAGAACAAATCAAAAATAAACTCAAAAAGGAGTACATTCAAATTAATTTCAGTTATTGATTTTTAAGTTTGTTTAAAATTATAATCCTAGAAAATCACGTGAATAGAACATGTAAAAACAATAACAACAGGCAAACAAAATGCTTTATAATCGCCAATATGTTTAGTTACAAATATAAATAGATAAATAAATTTGTACATATAGTTACATTTATAAAAATTGTGTTAATTCGATGGGAAAGAAAGAAATACGCCAAACACTTTGAAAAGAATTCTCCAAAAATATGAAACATCATCACACCGGCTGTTTTGATGATGAGTGCATTTTCATCAATTAGGTTGGAATAAAAATCACACATACATAAGCAAGGGACAGTCAACCTGACCCCCCTCATGCTTGAGAGAACAAGAAACAACAAACAGTGACTGTTTATATTAACTTTTATGGAAACAAGCATACGCACACATAGGGCAGAGAGGTAAAGAATAAAAAAGAAGGAAAAAGTGAAATCATAAAACAAACGTAAAAAGATTCTAAAAATAAAAATCGATCAATTATTGAAAAATAGAGATAACGAAATTGACAAGATTTTTACATATTCTCCCATATTTCTTGTTTCCATTCACATTCAACACTGTATTCATGAAGCACGAATCTGAGGACTTTAAAAATATAAATAAAAATTTCGACAGATATCAACCAACTTATGGTCGTATGCATTAAAGTAAGAAATATTAAAATCTTATAAATATATGATTCCAAATGCCATAGTACGTCTAAGGTTGGGGATAGTTTGTTCTCCTTCTCTAATTGTTTTCACAAAGCCGTGTGTTTATATCCTTCGCTACGGGCAGTTCTACTCACTAAGCCATACGGCGGTGTTATTTATGGAAATGAGAGGATGGAAAGCGAATATTTGTTGCTTGAACTGGGTTGATGGTTACTGTGAGTTCACGAGACGGAGTTGAAAAACTGTGGCTACAAAACATTGGTGTCCATAGGCTGAAAAATCCTGGAGAAAAAAACGGTGTATTGACCTATTTTTGGTCACTGGTCGCCATTGGAAAGCACCAACGTTGGTTTACTGTCTTGTAGATTAGATCTTTAGGTCAAAGGGTTTCGAAGCCCCCGGGAATATCCCAGCATGCACAGAAATATTTTATTTCAGCTATAATATTTTTGGTGCACAGCTGTCATATATATATATATATATATATATATATATATATATTGCTTATCCATGCGCTCGATTTATTGTTCCAGCTTCAGATACTGTCGTCACAATTATACGAATAAAATTCATACTCTCAGTATGTCACTATTGTTAAAGCTTGATTGAAAATACTACTAAGTACCCATCATTGGTAATAATACAGGTGCTTTTTCAGTGTGTGCTTGAGTTGTTTGACAAGGAAAAACCGAAAATAAAAATACGCTTTACTAACTGTTCATCAAGATGTACAGGTTTATGCTGATCTTTACAAAATTGTACACTTTTTTCTTCGTTTATAGTTTTCCACTTTTCTCGGATATTGTATACTGGCCATATGGGATTCACGGATTTTTTTACCAATTTCAAGAAATACCTATATAATGAATAAAGTATAAATAAAATTAAATGAATAAATAATTTAATAAAGACTCTTTATGATAAACTATTTTGATCGTGACATAATATGTAGAATTTATCAAGGTAGTAAGGCATCAGTTTAGAAAACATTATTCACAGATATGTATGTGTATAGAACTTCATTGAATGTAGTTCGACATTTCGGTGAAATGAACGCATTTAGCTCTATGAATGAACCAAAGCTCTATTATCTTTCCAAAAGTAATCGATAAGAGAATAGAATACATACAAGGCAACCAGACTATAAATAACTCCTCACCAATTTTCGAGGGCAATTCGAAACTGAATAAATTTTACCTTTCATCATATAAAATACACGACAAAAATGTCATAGTGTAATGCTCTGAACGTTTAAGATTGTTAGGAAATCTTCTTTTTGTCATCATAGAGTAGATGTATCAACTGTTCGATTTTTTTTTACATAACATGTGAATCAATGTGTTCTTAATTCAGTTTACTTTATTTATAGTAAACTCATACAGAAACCATTTGCTATTAGTGTTCTACTGAATAAAAGACAAACTAGTAAATAGAAATGCTAAAATAGATAATGATTTTCACACATAACTGCTTTAGATTGGTATGATGTGACAATGATGGTTCGCTTATAATTTTATTTTCGTTACTCCAGTGAATTTATGAATAACGACTTTTTAAACCATGATGGATTTTCCATACAATAGTTTATGGTTGTGAAAAAGATTTGCGGGCAAACCCTAAGCGTGGATATATTCTCACTCAGATTATTGGGGTTATATAGAAATATTTTTTATAGTGTTAACATTGGAAAACTGATAATAAGCATTGAGAACTCGATATACTTTATATCTCCATTAAAACTCTTTTGATCTATATAAACTTCTCAATGACCGGAAAGTGTCTTCAAAATCGTGAGGCCATTTTACGGTTCGCTCGAGCTTGTCCCTATAGCAAGCTTATGGCGAACAAACTTTTGGACATTTAAGTTGTAATGGTTGTGATTATCACACTGTTGATATTTTGACTGAAATTTGATTAGTCTTAGTTGATATAAGTGCTTCCTGTAGGAATTGCCTCAATATAGCCATTATGACACAAGATTATATAGAATGGATGAAATGTGGCCAGCAGTGGTGTATTTCGTCCCAGAGTGGATAACACGAAAGGGTGTAACGAAATACTACACTGACTTTTTTGAAATATAATTCTTTCGGACAATGATGTCTCTAACAATTTCAGACAATAAATTTATGATAATTTCATTGAGACCATAATAGTTATAATCATTATTAAAACTATCATGATAAAAATCAAACAAGAAACAATATATTTCTATTGGTAGCTTAATTCATAATATAATCCCACCCCATGTTCAAACTGGCTACAATAGCATACACAAACAACTACTAATCACTTAAATAGCCACACTGTCAATATCAATTTAGGTATAATAAAAACAACAATACTGATAAACCTAAAATATTGGACAAACATAACAACTAGTTCTTACATGTGCGTAAAAACGAGTGATTTGTTAGTTGAGAGGCCTACTTATTAATCAAATGACCATGAATAGAGATAAGAGAAAAACAGAGAGACATAGTTTTATTTGGTGAAGACGCTGACAAAATGCAGTCTTCTGACCACTTTAAGCAACTATGCAGGCATGTTCGGAATGCGATTCTCTCCCTCCAAGTGCAAAATGTTACTTCAGGACTGGGTTGCATCGACACCTGAACTAATGATAGGGATAGAAGTAGTTGAGCGTGTCGACCACTTCACTTATCTTGGGAGTCTCATCAGCCCTTGTGGTCCGGCATCTCGAACTGATGTACGTATGTACCAAGTTCTACGCTGTGACTGACTGAGAGACTATAATCTGTCAACAATTCACTGGGAGAAAAAGAGTGAATCTAAATCACAGCGATTATATTTGACTAAAATCGCCTACGGATCCTTAACATTTGACTGCTAACATCCTTGTAGAAATGTGATAATCAAATGAATACTTCACTAGATGGAACACATCAAAAGTCAGAAACTTTACATATAAGTGTCATGGAATGGTCACTTTCAATACTTCTAACATAATCTAGTGATAGTTAAAAACAATCTTCACTGAAAACGATGGAATGAATAATTTATGTTCCAATCGTATTTAGTAATAGCTCAGGTTATGGTTAATAAGTAAAGCATACTACTATTAGCCAGTGAACTACATGAACATTTATGTTACAAATGGTGTCAATATTTGTGTTATACTCATAACCTCGAACGTTTGAAAGTAATCAATTCGTTTGTTGAGAAACCATTATCTCGTGTTGACTGGTCGGAATTATCGAGCAAGGGTGTGGAGTGAAGTGGTTACCATATATAGCTATAAGCCCTTTAATATTTAATCTAAAAACATGTATATTAGTTTGTAAAAGTGCAGTCAAAAAGAAGGAAAAGTCAGCTAACAAACGTATTAAAGTCGTAGGCAGACAGAAATGGTACGTAAGCTGGGGACGGGGTTATGAACGAACAGAACATCATATTAAATATGAATTGGATATTTTTTGGTATTTTCATTGAAATAAACTTTTCCCTGGTCTGTACACACCATGAAACAAGAAAATTTTCCCAACTAGAAAGCAAAGACTTCAGGTTTGCTAATTCCAACTACATACATAATACACAATTTTATTTATTTATTTAAACACATAAATATTGGTACAAAGGGGTACCAAATCTCATTTGATTTGTGTGAGGGCTGTGATACTGCCCGGCTGTTCAGACGAAGCAGGTGGTTTTCTTAGGGGGCCACACCCGGAGCCTTCGACCTAAAGATCTGAATCACAAGGCAATGGAGCATCGTAAGTAGGTGGCCCCCAAATGCCCTGGTACGGCCGAGAGTGGGGAGAGTCTGCTCTCCCTCTCGAAATGCTCTCATATGGCTACGCGAATATATAGCCTCTGTCAGGGAAGTCCTATTCACTGCCTTCTCGTGGCGGGGGTGTTGTTCACAAAAGTGAGAGGACGAAAAGCGAATGTCCGGCGTTTTAACCGGGTTGGTGGACATGGAGGGTCCACCTAGGGGAGTTGGAAAACCCTGATTCAAAACCAATGGTGCACATGGGCTCCAGGATCCTGAAGGAACAAATGGCGTATGAATGAATCGTCTGTCACCGGCTACCATGGGACTGCATCTCCTTACGATTCACCACTGCCTTGTGGACTAGACCTTTAGGTCAAAGGCTCCGGGTATGGTCCCACAAAGAAAACCACCTGCTTCAGTCTGGGCACCTGGGCAGTATCACAGCCCTCACACAAATCGAATGAGATTTGTGAGGCGCATATTTATCTGGTGCTTCCTTGCACCAATATTTATGTGTTTAAATAAATAAATAAAATAAAGTAGGTGCAGTCCCATGATAGCCGGTGACCAACGATTGATTCATACGCTATTTGTTCCCTCAAGATACTGAAGCCCATGTACACCAGTGGTTTGGAATCAGGGTTTTCCAACTCCCTTAGGTGGACTTTCCGTGTCCACCAACCCGGTTGAAGGGCCGGACGTTCGCTTTTCATCCTCTCAATTTCGTAAACAACACCCCATCACGAGAAGACAGTGAATAGGACCTCCCTGACAGAGGCTATATACACGTGGCCATGTGAGAGCATTTTGAGAGGGAGAGCGGACTCTTCCCACTCTCGGCTGTACCAGGACAGTTTATACAACATTAAAAATATTGTTACAGAAAAACAATTATAATTGTATTGATGAGTAGGATAATTTTGTAACAGAAATCCAGCACACCTCAGTAATCAGGTATAAATTCATCTATCAAAATTTTTAGTCAAATTTCCTATTGAGATACTACTACCCAATCAATAGTAGTGATAAGCGTAGGCAGACCTGACGTGTGTGTCCCAAACTTTATGTCTTCCTAATTCCCTATTTAGTTGGACAGAATACAAACAACTCTCTATAGGAAATCAGTTTAGGAGAGCAAGTTTCGCTTCTAAACTAAGTGCTATACATACACCAGCGAGACCACAAGAGGTGGCAGTTAAGACCCCAGATACAAGGGAGGTAGGTTGAGCCCGTTTTCTGTATTGACTACATGAGAGCAGGTGAATGACCCCACATAGGTCCTGTATGGGTGTTTCGGAGACATAGCATATATCGATGGTACAAGATTCTAGAGTCTAATATAAGGGAGCCCTATTGGCCCATTTGACATAAGGTCCGAACATTGGAAGCTTCCAAATTTAGTTTAGAGTGCAGGTTCAAGATACCATAAACAACATCTCAAGAACTCGAACATTTAGTATTAATGGTGCAGGGAATAAGATCATAAAAGAGTTGGTGGTGGGGATAAAAGGAATATCATGAATAAGACAATCTCTAGTGCTGTTAAAGGGATGAGGTAGATTGTCACTTCCCGGTTGCTCATACTGTGGATATTGCTTATCGAAGGGTGTGAAGAGAAAAACGGGCTAGTGGTAGCTATAACAACCTGGGAGTGTAGCAACAGAACCTGAGGGACAACTGCTAGAGACCGATCACAGTATTTTTATAGGAAGTTTATGATGTGCTAACTCGAAATTCCAAAAAGCCTTACCGCCAAAGACGGAAATGCGTGGGGTAAGTTGAGATGTGATATTTTTAGCGTCAATGTTTTATAATCCCTTTCTTCCTTTGTGATATGTTTGATGCTATTACGAGTTCACCTTACTTGGTAAACGGAACGAAGGCCAAAGACACAGTGACATGATAGGCTATTCTAATCCGTTGTCCCAGGCCCTGCTAACTAGATCAATAAGTCTTGATGAGGCGTAGAGAATGTATTTTACAAACATCCAGAAAATACGAGGTCACTAAGCACAGAAATCAAGCTTATTTATACAATGACAGAAACGCCCTTGGGAGAGCCACAAAATAACGTACTAAAAAAATCCGTCAACCAATGACAGTCAAGGATTTCCGAGTCGGAAATGTAGGTTGTAGGTCAACTAGGCGTCTCTTGGCGCGAAAACATAAATTCAAAGTTTCAGAACAAAATTACAAATTAGGATCTTTTCCAAGTGAATTCTGGGGATCTATCGTCCTCAACACTTTGTGAGAAGGCAGCATCTTAGGAGATGCTGATTGCCTCAAGGCAGAAACCTTAATGATGTCACATCTTAATACAGTTAGCAGCACAACTTCACCCTCGAACCATGATTTTAGTGCTTTTGGTCTTAAAGCTCCCCGACCAACCTCGTGGGTTGCTGTCTGACGAAATATAGGGATGAACTCAGAAAGCCCGGTTGACAACTACTAACTTGCGCCACTGGTGGTGCAGGAGAAATATCTGTCTGCTAACCAAAGGACGGGTATACCATGCAACAGTTTATTCACTTCTACGACCATTAATACTGTTACTACCTCTATTATTATGATTTTCCTTGAAAATTTCATCTAACAAAGCTAATGGGGTATATATCAAGCTAAACCAATGTGCACAAGTACTAAGTTCTACGTTGCACTTTGACTGAATGAGCAATAACGAGAAGTTTCGTTGAAATACGAAAAACTGAAACATTTTTCAAAGTATTATAATAATGAATAAATTTAACAACTATGGGCGCCCAGTTTAAACATAGTGAGTTAATGATAGGTGTAAGGTTGCGAAGAATATCCTTAAGCACTAAAATAATTTTTTCTTTTATTATTATTAATACGAATATTGGTTCGGCTCATGAGTATTGTACGAAAGTCACAGTTGTAAAAAAATTTAATTAAGAGAGTATTAATCTCAGTATAAAGAAGGAAGACCAACAGGTTGAATTGAATGGAATTTTGTCTACACTTAAGGCTAACAAATATCCCAAAGGATTTTTAAAGAGTATTATTAGGAATGAAAGAAAAACTAAATTAGAGTAAATACCGAAAGATTGGAAGACCACCGTGGTCATCCCATACCGTTAAGAAACATCGGAAGAAATTAAGAGGATTCTGAAAAAACATAATATAAGAGTGTATTTTGGGACTAGTGACACCATGAGATCGGCATTAATGAAAGTTAAGGACAGGTTCCCGAAGAACAACAGAATGTTGTCTATGAGACCAACTATCATGATTTTAATGCAGCTTACGTAGGATAAACTTCTGAACAATTGAATGTGAGAACGAAGGAACACATAATGTTTGAAAAAGAAACTTGAGAAACATGAGAATAGGTCGGCAACAGCGTTACATGCGTTAGAAACAGAGCACAAGATCAATTTCGAAGGGACCAAAATACTTTGAAAAGACTCTGAGACACATAAAGAAAGATTGACCGCAAAAGCGCTGTATATGAGCCAATAAGAACAGCCTGAACAGAAAAGATAGTATTCAACTAGCTACCACATGGCAAATGTTCATTAACAAGTAATTGGACCCTATCTCTATCCAACCTGTTTATTTCACATGCATCGTTATTCTGAAAGAAATAAAATGAGATACTTAAGCATTACATTTACGTATTTGATGGTTCTCATTTTACATGCAAATTGACGGTTTAAAAACAATTTCAATCTGCACTTTTATTTTCACTTCAAATAAAAAACGAACTATTACCGAATGTCAACCACAAATAACTCAAACCTACACATACACACACAATCAATCATTCATTCATCTTTACATTGTTAACTTTTTCATATGATTCACATATGACCGACTCATGTTATCCTACTTACTAAAGTCAACGTCTGAATATGATTGGATAAACACTTAGTACACATTTGATTTGATTATATATTCTTGGGTAATTTTGATTTTGATTATTACCCTGAAGAGTTCCAGCCAAGTCTGATGGACGAAACGTCGGAATTATTTAAACTTCGACCGCTGAGTTTATTTCAAATATAATTTCCACAAGCTTCAATTGACTTATGATTTCAACTATATATAAAAACTTTCAACTATGAAAAATACTAAATCTCCACAAAACCCCTTCTGATAATTAATATAATCATATGCTCACTAGTGACTGACTTCGAGAAGTATATCTAGAAGCTCTAGTGAGAATCAGTGACCAGTGGAGTTCAAAACCACGTCTGTTGTGAGATAGGAACTCACTAAAGACAATTGGTGAATGGTTGCTCAACTTCGTGGATCAGTTGAAGTTAGACATTAACACCGTTGGATGCCAGCTCAGTGGTCTATCGGTTAAGGGCTTCTGCTCAAGACTGGTAAGTCCTGGGTTCGAATCTCGTGAGAGCGGGTTAGTGGATGCGCACTGCTGAGGAGTCCCATAATAGGACGAAACGGCCGTTCAGTGTTTCCAGGTTTTCGATGGTGGTCTAGCTTCAATTGACTCACGCTTTCAACTATAAAAAATTACTAAAAAAATCTCCACAAACAAACCCCAAATATTATTATTATTAACCACAATCATCTTTACGATTAAAAAAGTAGACCAGTTGTTTACCCTTTCAGCATCGCTGTATGTTTTTGCTGAAGTTTCGATAAAGTCAAGATGCCAATCATCTGCATACTGCTTGCCTTGACTGATATAATTATTTCGAGTACAACCTTTTAGATCACATTTATTAGCCACAATTAACATTGGTACATGGTCAGATTGCTTAATACGAAGAATATGCTCACTAAAATATATTACACAAAAGTACAAGTTAAAGAGTATACAAATACGAAATTTAACAATTAACCGTTACCCGCATTTTTAATATAACATTTAACGATACTTTCCATCACTGTAGATAGAAGAAAGTTGAATACACTCAAAGATGTTACACAAACATAACTGTGAGTTCAGAACAGAGAATGGTAGATAAACAATCACTCGGTAGCCGAACTAATAGACTTTTACTTGTTTAGCCAGACGTATAGTATGTATAAATTCTGGTACAAAAGGGCACACGAAATGTATGCCACAAACAAATGAAACGGTAATAGTGCAAGGAATAGAAGAGAGTAAGGTCGTGAGATAAGGTAAATAAATAAACAACAGTACTTAATAAAAGATACTGTGTAATCGAAAATACAACCAAAATGAATTTCTTCCAGTTAAGAGGATTGTAAGGAAGATAGGGATCGCTGAAAAAACGTGGTGTCAGTTCATGAAATCATTGATTGTCGGACGGAACCATGTTAACAGATGCATGTTACTTCGTTGAGGTACATGAAATAACCAATAAGTGGTTGAATTTTTTAGGTGACACAGCTTGGAATCGATACAATGTCTCGGATACATTCACTTTTTTATTTTCATCCACATTTTGAGTAAGAATATCCCTTTATACATCTATTTTGGTTCCATTTCTTTGAACTACATTCTCATAGTTTAGTTTGCCTCACTACCTTTGCTAATACATTATTTGGTATTTATCTAGTTGATTTTATCTCGTAGTTCAGATACGCTAATGACAACTTCCGCCAACACATTTTTGACAGGTTCTATGCTGATCATGAATGACTTTTATGGAGAATGTAGTGGAAAAATACGACAGGAACCCCAGTGTTTTGGGTGATCCCTACAATCCCACCAGGAGGTCATGATGGTTTAAAGGATGTCATTCAGCTCTTTTTCATACCACAGAGCTATGTCATAAAACGACCGCCCAGAAATGTAAATCTCGCTCTACCTACTTCAATCCCCATAAGAACAAAATCACGTGAAGACCAGTTTGGTGACAATTTAAAGGTGGATGAATATAAAATTTCCTCTCATATACAGTTTTTTCTAATTGCGTATTTTATGCTCTTTACAGGTCAACAGGCTGAATAAGATATCACTAAAATCTAGTCATGAAGAAACTCAATAATAGCAATGAGTTTAAGCAAATATTGAATGAGATTGACAAATTTATCCATAGTGATGAAAATTCAACTAAACTTGAAGAAAAGGACAATCTAGACACTTACAATAAATACGTCCAAATCAGAGACAAAATAGAGATTTTATCAATAACCTCAATCCTTTATCATACTTGCTGTCTGTTCACATTCTGTGAATTTACGATGACCACAAATTAAAACTATTACCAGCAAACCGTGTCTTTTATTTTTATTCCTTACATTTAATAATCAGTTAGTAAAAACATTTCGTAAGGAATATTTGTGACAATAAAGACAGTAGCACAGCTAAGCAAATGGTAACGTAAATGGGTTTTTAAATGACAGCCTAATTTTAGGTGTAAAAATGAGAGAAATAGGTTATCTTAATTTAAGTAACCGACCATAAGAGTGTCGAAACTGATATCAGAGTATATCGACTTGGACAGTTATGACCAAGGGACAGCATAGAATATAAACGTATTCTTTAGAAGTCCTTATGATAAAATAACATGGAGTATGTCATTATCTAACCAGGGAACATATCTCACCCTAGTAGTTACCACTACATTGAAAATAGGTTGAGTTCAAAGGACATTCCTGACTGAGAATACTAAACTAAATTCAAAGTTTGTAATTTTGGTTCCGATGAATTTATCAAGCTTGGCAAATCAAGTATTTATGATCAAATACCAAAGTTCCAAGAATATATCAAACAACAAACACTTTATTGAGTACTATTAAAAATTAACCATTAATACATTCTCCCATAGGAAAACTCATGTAACTAACATGGAATAATCTACTGTTTAACGAATACTAAGCAGAAGAGAGCAGAACTTATTCTTCTCAATTCTACAGTAGTTCTATGATACTACCGATGTGAATGAATGTTGTACAATATTTAATATAGATATTTCAAATTAATGAATTATAATATTGATTTATATTTACTGTTTGTTTTAGGCATATATATAATTCTATCAACACACCACTTACCGAAATGTTGCCAAAGAGTTTACGGATTCGCTATCGTCAATAGCAAACACCAATATGAAACCTTCACTAATTTTGAAAAAATAATCTCGAATCCCTCTATAATCTTCCTGACCTGTATATGTTATTTATTTATTATTAAAAATAAAGAGACAAATTTTGAAGAAAACACTAATGAAGATCAATGTAACAGGATATTTGTTAATCTAGATTCATTATATATTATATAAATATTAACCCATTTAACAGGTACAGATATGTGTGCTTAGCTTAAAGCCACACTCTAAACAAGAGGGGTAGTGATGCTGTCCACTTGTTCAGACGGGAGTAGTTGGAACGGAGTTCGTATCTGAAACCTAGTGGTTAAAAGTTGGACGTCCTAGCCACTGAGTAACTGCTATACAAGGTATTCTAGTAATATAAAAAGGGATAGATTAAGTGACCCTTTAGGAATTAAATAAAGATTTTCAGCTACATACTAGCCAAAAATTCTTCATCTAACTTTATATCTGTAAACCTTTCAGGAGTTGAAATCGAAAACAACTCCAACGTTTCATTTAGTAGTTCAGTTCCGGCTTCAGGAAAATTATGTAGGACAGAAAGTATCGAATATAAATACGGTTAACAAAGCAACTGTTTGAGTAAAGATTGTTTAATCATATTGAAAATGTGAAGTCTTAATAAATAAAGAAATGAGTGGATTTATATTCAGACCTGATGTGAAAAAACTACCGACTAAATATGACCCTGGGTTACGGTTGGAAATAAGATTAGCCAATCTGAATGATAGTCACACACCAAACGTGTCAGAGCATGGATGAAATGAGAATAAATAAGTGTATATTTGTGTTACGTCAGTCAGACCGATTGTTTAAGCTATATCCACACACAATGATCTATTAAAACGAATACAAGCCGTTTCTTCATAGAATATGACATGTAGAAAAGAGTAGTAGATTAAAATCATATTTATGTATCAGTCAATAGTTATTAAGGTACTCCATCTCGTCTATTCAGACTGTTTTAGTTTGCTCATATATATAAGGATTTGGGTGTCAAATTCTCTTTGTAAGAACTAAAAATTTTCCGAAGGATTTCTGTTCGATCAACTTCAATTGTGCCCCGTTTTTACGGAATGTAGTGTTATTGCTGATTTGTTTTCAAGCTTTTTGAGATCTTTTGAAGACCTTCAAGCATAGTTTGTGTTCCTTCACCATCACACTTAACAATCGTGACATATCGCCTACATATACTTGCGTACATCTTTACTAGTATCTAGCTCAATCTTACTTGTATACAGAATGACGAAACGGTTGTCTTATTTAAATCCATGCATTTTAAGCAGTGATTGGATTCTAAGTACGGTCATTATAAATGGAAACGAATAGTGTTGGGGCTAATCGACTGTGCCAAACCACGAAAATTCGTCAAATAACCTGAATAATTCCATATTATCCCTTGAGATGGCAAGCTAATATGGCTACTAGTAGAAATATTTGTGTACAACATCGTACAGAATCACCTAAATTAGTTACCACACTCATATTTAGTACAGAAGAAAGACAGTAAAATAAATACGAATGCAGACCAATAAAGGAAAATAATTAACAAAGAATTAGATGTTGAAGTTTCAGAAAAGCATAAGAAGTTAAGGTATTTGTACTATTATGATCAAATCTGAGCGATTATTATTTGAACACAAAGATTAGTACAGGGAGCACCAAATATATATGCACCACATTATGAAAATGAGGTTACAAAGATAGAGAAAAGAGAGTAAGAATAATAAAAGAGGAGAGAAACAACGTCGGTCAGCCAGTTACAACGTAGCACCAGTTATATATATGCATCGGTCCAAGTTGCCTAACCTTATTCATTAACACAAGATGAACACCAAATTCATAGCAGTTACTTCAATGGCAATAATATATGAAAAAAAAGATAGCATATAAGGTTGTGATACAGGGAGAAAGAATTAGTTTGTAGAAAGTGAGGTATAGAGTGGTTTTAATCTCCCGGTTTAAGAGAAAACAAAGAGTGTATACACTACACCCTTGTGATCGATCCTAAGCCATGTCACCCAGAGTCTCCACCATTAGTTACGATTGTCACGCAGACCCCCAAAAAAGTAGTCCCCATCTACAAACATGGTTCAGACCAGAAGTTAGTGATTTCAAGTATTGATGCCACGTTTCGGTTCGGCAACCCCTAACTTCATTCCGCCCGTCTCCAATACTAGTCGGCATTGTGCGACGTGGTAATCGATAGTTGGGTATGAGTAATATGTGGACCAACCATCTCAGTCGATGAAGATTCATAACCTCATCAGCTGATTTACCATTACTCTCTAATACCCTGTCTAACCTGACTATTACTTACCCGGTGATCCCAGCAAATGCGAGCAATATTTCTAAGACATTTGTGATCGAATACTAGTAAATTACGAGTATACTTTACCCTTAATGGCCACGTTTCGCAGCCATAAAGTAAAACGGAGCAAACTGCTGAGCAGTAATACTTTTCCCTTATTTGATAGACGGAGATCTCGCCTTCACCATAGGTGACGCAGATTGGCAAAAAACCAAACGAACTTTTTGGATCCATTCAGAGGTTTCGTCGAACACTGGACTTTCAAGATAAGTGAAGTTATAGACACGTTCGACTACTTCACTCCCTATTCGTAGTTCAGGTGTTGACACAGGCCAGTCGTGCAGCGACAATTTGCATTTAGATGGAGAGGAACGTATTCCAAACATCCTGGCATTGTTACTCAGTGCTACCAAAAGACTATGCGTTTTATCAGCGTCTTCACCAAACAGGACTATATCATCTGTGTATTCTATGTCAATAGGTGGGCCTCCAGGTAAGAAATCAATTCTCAGAAATTCAACCGACGAGAACGTTATTTCCAGTAATAGGTCGATGATCAAATTAAACAAAAATGAAGATAGTGGATAACCTTCCTGGACACCACTTGAGATTGCAAAATCAGATGAAAGTTTGCCATAAGCTCTGATTTTATTGGTAGTGTTCGAGTAAAAATCCCTTACAAGGTTTACACACTTGAGGTAGGCCTTTCAATGACGAACTGCCACAGAACCTCTCGATCTACCGATTAAATGCTGCTTTTAAGTCAAGAAAAACCATCATTGTCGGACGCTGATAAGCGTGTCTGTCTTCTAAAATCCGACGAATGGTGAATATATGATTGATGCAGCCACGACAAAGTCTGAAACCAGCCCAATTTTATCGTATTAGCAGTTCATGAAACTTCATTAGGCGCCGATAATTATTGAGGCTAGTATTTTAGACGCTATATTAGTAGAACTAATCCTCCTATAGTTATAACAGGATGATTTTGATTCTTTCTTATTTATTGGGAAGGTCACTAGTGAGTAGGAATTAGTAGGTGAAACAATAATAATAATAGTAGTAGTAGTAGTAGTAGTAGTAATAATAGTAATAAAGGGAGTACTCCAATTGGGACAAATAAAACGAGTGAGAATTCTTCCACTTAGATAAATTACTCTCGCTTTTATGAAGAAATTAAAGGAGAGCTACAGCAGGATAGCTACTAGCTTCTATTCTGAGCCATTTCTGATGTCTCCAGCCAATACATTGTATCATCTTTAGAACCCCAACCAAAGAGCTGTGAAGGACCAAAAGAAGGCAGTCCTGTACATATCCTGTCATATCACGACACCGTATCATACAACGACCACTTCTTCGACTTTTTTAACCAGTCCCAGCGTCGGAAAACAACAAGATGTGGAATTCGCTGGGACGGCATTCATAGTACGTGTACAACTTTATTTCAACCTTCTACTATAACAAACCTTATATTCTCATGGTTCGCTTAAAAGTCGCCGGTGAAGAAAATCTCCGATTGGTGGGTTTTCGAATAGTCAGGTCTTGGAAGCGAATGCTACCAAGGCCTGTGTGGATAGGTCGTTCTCCCTAGGAGTTTTATATGCCAACGCCCGTAGTCTAAAACATAAATTCTACGAGCTAGGAACATTAGTGGACAAATTAAGGCCACTCATTGTAGCTGTGACGGAATCTTGGTTAGTCCATGACTTCGATTTCACCCAGAATTATCCGGATATCATTGTTTAAGAAGTGATGGACATAGATGCAGGAAAGGAGGTGGCGTCCTTCTATACATAGCCAATAGTATAAATATCCGCACCTCCGTTTGCGAATCCCATGATAGTGGAACTAGTGAAGTCATTAGCTGTGAGCTCACTGTCGGATGTTGTACATTTGCACTCGGTGTCATCTATCGCAGCCCAATCTGCTTAGCTGATGATTTTATTTTAGAACACATTCGGCTATGGAGTACAAATAACAGATGCTTGATATTAGGAGACTTTAATGCACCTGATATTAGTTGGACTGAGATGACCACGATATGCTCTATAAACTCATTTGATAGCAGGCTCTTGGAAACAGTAATGGAACATGCATTAGTATAACATGTATCCAAACCTACACGTTTTGGTGTAAACCAAGGTTCTTCTCTGTTGGACTTGGTAATTACCCATGAGGCTGAGGATATTGCCAACCTAAATATTCTTCCCCCGTTAGTAAATAGCGATCACGCTGTTTTATCATTCACGTTTAGAGCTAGCGGTATGATATGCGATCAGATTAAGCCTTGCCCAAACATATGGAGAGCTAACATACCAGCCATTCAGGATTGTGCTACTAAGATAGATTGGTCAGTAGATACTAGCTCATCAGTTGACGAGGCGTGGTCTGTATTTAAAGGCAAGTTTAGTGCAGTCACGTCCCCGTTCATACCATACTTGGTGCCACGTAGACAGAACAATATCCACCGTGGATAAATAAGGAAGTTAAGAAACTTCTTAGGCGTAGAAAAAAACACTGGAACATGTTCATCTCTACTGGCTTAGAACAGTACAGATCTAGTTATTGTAAGATTGGAAATACTTGTAAAACGTTAATTAGTAGGACTAGACGGTCGTACGAAAAACAATTGGTTAGGGATTGCAAACATAATCCAAAACGGTTATTCTCGTATATAAAGAGGCGAACTCAAAGAAGTGATGGAATACCATCACTTTTGATGCAAGAAAATCCGTTAAGTTTGGCAAGAAATGATACCGAAAACGCTTACGCTTTTTTGGAATATTTCAGTAAAGTTTTTTCTACCAATAATGAGGAACGATCACCTATTCATTGTGATTGTGGCGACTTGTTGATGGACCCTGTAGTTATTAAGAAAGAAACTGTTTTAAGCCTACTTCAGAATCCCAAACCTGATAAGTCTAGTGGTCCTGATGATATTCATCCTCGGATTATGAAAGCCCTCTCAGATGTTATTGGTGAACCCTTAGCGATACTGTTTGATATGTCCCTACGGCAGTCCAGATTGCCCAGAGACTGGAAAGACGCAATAATCAGTCCGGTGTATAGGGCTGGGAGTAGGGATTTAGTTGGTAATTATCGACCCGTCAGCTTAACTAGTGCAGTTGTAAAACTAATGGAAAAATTTATTAGGATGGCTGTTATAAACTACGTGGAAAGACATAATCTTTTGTCAAAGGAACAACATGGTTTTCGAAAAGGTCTATCACGTTTGACAAATCTTCTCATCGCAAGAGATTGGGCTAAGGCAAAAGATCGCAATATTTCTGTAGATGTCATTTTCATAGATCTAAGTAAAGCCTTTGATAAGGTTTCCCATTCTGGTCTTAAATTGAAACTAGAAAGTTTTGGAATTCATTATGCAGTCATAGACTGGATAAGTGACTTTCTTCATAAAAGGAGACAACGGGTAAGAGTAAATGGGGCTCTCTCATCGTGGGAACCAGTAAAAAGTGGCGTCCCCCAAGGCACGATTTTAGGTCCTCTTCTCTTTTTACTTTATATAAATGAATTACCAGCTATAGCTAAGTCATCCGTCCTACTATTCGCCGATGACATTAAGATTTGGAGACCCATATATAGTATGCCAGACAGAATAGTTTCACAGGAAGATCTTAACTCATTAGTGGCATGGATGAATGGGTGGTCACTAGAAGTAAACCTTAATAAAAGTGTTGTGATGCAATTAAATAACTACGATGATTCGTATCACTACACAATATGTGGACTAGTGTTGCCCAAAGTAAGAAACTATAAAGATTTAGGAGTCATACTAAGTAATGACCTCAAAACACCAAGTCACTGTAAGGCTGCTGCTGCAAAAGGCTATAGGGTATTATGGTCTATTCGTAGATCTTTCCGGTATCTGGATGGGGAAATGTTTAGATTATTATACCCAACTTTCGTACGGCCACATTTGGAATATGGGATTCAAGCAGCTAGTCCTTGTTTCAAATATGAGGCGGATATGTTGGAGCGAGTCCAACGCCGCGGGACAAAAATGGTAAAAGGTCTATCTAGCCTATCTTATGAAGACAGACTGAGACACCTCAACTTATTTCCGTTATCTTACCGGCGAATACGGGGTGATCTAATATTGGCATATCGTATCCTGAACGATGACCTTGGTACTAACATGTCCTATCTTTTCCTCCCGTCTAGGGCTGATCATTTGAGAGGACATTAAAAGAAAGTCCAAAAACCGAGATCAAATCGTCTACGTCTGGAGTTTCGTTTCTCGCACCGAGTAGTGAATTACTGGAATTCTCTACCAGAACACGTAATATCAGTACCTTCTGTTGATATATTCAAGACGAGATTGGACCTCCACAGTGTAACAAACTCCAAGGATTAAAATAGGTCACTAGACCTCCTATCCTTATTACTGAAGACTGAACAGTTCAGTTGACGTTTAACAACTGCACCAAACGGTTTCAACATCATGTTTAAAAGACCTGAACTTAATCTGAACAGGAATCATTTCGTGGACTTACAACAAGTTCAATGGTCTGAAAGGATTTATGGTTGACTATATAGTCCTTCTAAATCTACTTTAGAAGGCAGTCTGGATTCTGTAGTGAGTTGAGGTTATACAACTTTGATATTTAACTGACCTGGTTAAAAATAATTCCGGGTACTTAAGAGGGTGTTATCTCAAAAGTTGCAGAGTTTGGTTGATGCATACAGGATTAATTCGAACTCAAAACGGTAACCTATGTAGTTGTACGAATGTTCCGACCTGATTAAATTACCCTTTTAAATTATTACAATAGTCCCCATTTTCCGCTATATATTAGGGTATGGTTACATTTAGTTGGGGTTTATGAATACTTGTGTTCAGAGTGCGTACCAGTTCGGGACGAGTAGCAGTTACGATCTAAAAACATGAATACTAATTTAATGTGATTGTGATTTAAGATACAAAAAGAAATCGAAGGAATATGCTGAATATATTGTGAAAGAAAAGTAACAAATATTATAGACTCAGGAAGGACATCTCAAAACGTTAGGACAGCAATAAAAATAACGTAAGAATAGTCGGAGAACATGGAAATCCTTTACCTGCAGTATCTAGAATATCAAATTGTAGTGGCACCCCATCCAACGTTATTTTTCTCCTGTACGAATTAGCTTTTGTTGGTTCATAATCCTGAATAAACTAAAGAGAAAAATAAAAATGCAACAAGTATGCTAAATAAATCACCTCACTATACACAAACTGGAGAGTTAGAGAACTCTTGCCAACCCCACCAGACCCAACGATAGCAATTCTTAAAATAGTTGGTTGTTGCATTAGTGATGTTTGGGGGAATTATCAAGTAAAATTAAATCCTATAAGCGAAAAAATACTAGCAAGCACAATGTCGAGACCAAAAGCTTTTCGTCATATGATTATAAACCGTATGCAACAATTCGGTGGCCTTGAACATTGAAAGAGGTTGCTAAATTCTATAAGGTCAAACAGACGTAAAGCGATCGGTGTAACACCTCGACAACTTGTAAGTTTTCGCTGGAGCGGCCAAATCAAAACTGTGTCTGATCCCGCGCTATTTATGGAAGAACAAAGACTGAGTGGTTTAGATGATTTGATAAAAATACAAAATTATTTCAGTGACTAGCTTTCAGTAGCACAGTGGAAATTAGCGAAACAGAGTTAAACCTGTACGTCTGGTGCCAAATTGGACTGCAGAAATCAGAAACCCCTTAGTTTGTCTAAACAATCTTACTGGAAAGTCCGTCATTCTTCCTAAGTTAGGAGTCTTCCGTAAATGAACTAGAGGCTAGATATGAACACGAACAAATCCTTGATATGCAAGCCAGTTCCAGAGACAGTATTAGGAGTTAGCACTCATATGCTTTATAGAATTGGACAAAAAGGGAACTCGAAAACCACACAGGCAAGCCTCGTAGAGTTAACTTTAACTTCTGAAGAGGGAAACCCAGTACCGCAAACAGACTGGATCCGGAATGAATGTCTGTGGGGATCTCAGCATGTTTGGTCGTATTAAGTGAAGATCGACTGAGGTAGAAATAAGTCAGAGCTGCCGATACGGTGAAAACCCTTAAACTTAAGGGTTTCCAAACTGTAAAATTTTGGGGCGAAACGATCTTCAAGCTAATATGGGTGATACGAAAAAGTTGTTCACAAAATTTAGGGTATGTTATATAAACTTTCACAGACTACTGAATGAAATGGCGGAGCTAAATAACATGATGGGGACAGAAAACCTTGATGTCATTGTTATCTCAGAAACGTGGTTAACGCCAGAAGTGTATGACAGTGAAGTCTAGTTGTCTGATTTCTTACTTTGTAGAGCTGACAGATCAAACTGTGAGAGTGATTGGGTTATCCTGTACATGAAAATTACCTTAACAATACGAGTTGTCAAGACCAGGTCACACGACTCAGGGACATGTGAACTGATGCGCCGCCGGCTGGAACGTAGAGGGAAAGACATTGATTTACTTTTGGTATGCCACAGTTCAGAATTTGTAGTACATAACTTTATCGTAAATAAATTTAAAGGGATGAGCTGATTTACGACAGTTACACCATCATGTAACACTACCACTTATATATTAGACATGTCCTTAGCAGAAAGATCACTTCCATTTCCTGGATAAACCGGGATATTGAACATGTATCGGTAAATAGATCCTTAAAATAAATAGCTCTGTAAGTCATCGGCATTTGATGCTGACCACATTAGTTCTGATGGAGTCACTAGCTGAAGGCGCGTGGTTACGCACCCGCACCAGATAATGAGTGGGAACGCTGTGCTCAATTTCTCCTACAACCTCTTACCAGTTTAGATCGATCACTTCCCGATATATTGAAAACCTATCAAAAATATCTTCGAACCTCTTCTCTTCTAGCTTCTAATTCCACTGGATGGGCACGTTTCGACCGTAGGTGTTACTGGTTAAGGTGTTGTCAAACTTCAAATACTTGTGGCATCTTCGGACACTTACTAAAGCTCAAAAAAAAGATGCATGAGCGTCACCATCAGCCTTAGCATGGCAAATGCTATGTAAAGTTTTATGTCGGTACGATATCGATGTATAAGATTAATCCTGCCAGCTTAGCGAAAATTTGAAAGCAATCGTCACAGTTTTTAATCAGGCAGATGAAGAAACTGTTCTGATGAACAAATTACTTAACAAGAACCCACCATTGGATTACCAACCTGATTACAGAAGGCAGTTGGTCTCAAACGATAAAGGAAGGCCAGGACAAAAATGAGGCCATGGTGAACCATTTTGGCACAGTTTTTGCCCGGAAGCCTCTTTCAGACAATGAACTGGACAGAGTCGCGAAATAGGTTACACATTGTGGACGACTTACCAAAGGCCCTTATCACACTAGAATGAGGGACAAAAAATCAACAGGACTTGATGAACTATATCCTAAAATCTTGAGGCTAATTACACAATATATTGCTGCCCTATTGACTGCGATTTCAATATGTCACGTAGTGAAGGTGTGCTACCTACGGACTGAAAGGACGCAGTCATCACTTCAATAAATAAAACAGGACCACTACAACTTTCATCAAACTACAGACCTGTCAGTCTCACCAGTGTCGTAGTTAAAATACTGGAAAGAAATGGAAAAAAACTATAATGAAATTCATGGAAACCAACAACTTGTTGAACAACGAAAAGCATGGCCTCAGAGAATATTTATCATGCATAACAAAACTCCTTATGGCAAGAGAGCAATGGATAGAGGCTCTGACTAATGGAGAATCAATGAATGTTGTTTACACAGACTTCAGAAAAGCATCTGACGGGGTGCAAACAAATAGGCTACTCTTGAAGATGGAAGGTCTAGGCATTGCCGGATCTCTCCCAAAGTGGCTTAAGGATCCATTTGTCACAGTTGTCTAATTCGGAAGCATTGTTTTATCCGGGGTTTAATGTTATAGATGTAAGTAAGATGACCTTCTCGCCTCGAACTAATTCATCAATGAAGATTTCGGAATAAAATACTAGCTACGCGAAGGTCTCCGCTTATTGTGTTTATGGACTTTGACTTATAATGATGCTCTTAAATTTTTTAACCACCAGTGGCTTTTCCAGGGTTGCTGCCGGTCCCAAGCCTGAATAAGAATGGAGTGTTTAGCATAGTCAGCAACTCCATGCCGTAGAAAACAACCTTGCTAAAAAAACGCTTACCAGAAAAAACAGTAAAAACCATTTATATATTGAAATTGTACGATATTTGGAGCAGATATTTTAAATGAATGTAGATATCCATTCATTTCTGATTATGATAACGGACAGAGAACATGACTACCGAACACACCAAGCTAACTTCACTGGTTAACTTGTACCTGGAAGGTTGATTGAGTGAAATGACTTATATGTGAATCTTTACAACACTACTTTTTTGGTTGCATGTCTATCTCAGAGGCAGAGCGCACGACACATGTCTATCTACTTAACTGTTAATAATATTCCACTACTATATTGGCATACAAATATTGATACACGCTGACTAGTTGACACACAAAACATTTAGAATTCATTCCAACAGAGTGAAGATTAGACCAGTCTAATGCATTCTTGGATATATTTTACTTTACAATTCTAGCTTCCAAGCCAAAGTAGTTTAGAATCAGAATAACTGTGGAAGTTGGTTATGACACTCATGCGCTTGCCCATTAAAAATTAATGACAAAATGGTCGAGTGACGAAGGATTATCAATTCGGACACAGACTGTTACCTAAAAAAATGTTATAACTCAGTTATTCAACCAGTTATTGTTCAGCAAAATCAAACGATCGAATATAATAATAATATATTCTGAAATAACAATATACTACACTATGCTTGTCAGTTTGCAAGTAAAATATTACAAGTCAAAATATTACAAACGACACAGTATTTCCTGCAGTAAAGTTTCCAGTTAAGTTGACAGGTAATAAGGCACTCTAGTTTTGAAAATCGGAGGGTAAATTTGAGTACATATGAATATTAATAATGTTATGAATAATAATAATATACAGCAGGTACGAGCCATCGTCACAGAAGTAAGCAATTACCTGCAGCGTTGGTTTACAAATAAAATATCACCTAAGTAGGGTTGTTAAATAAATGAAGTCAGTGAGAATTTATGATAAGGTACTCACACAGATAAACCTGCAAGTAATTAAAGGAGTTTGTGTTTTGTATTGAACTATGAAATCACAATTGATATAATCTGCTTTGAAATGGCAAATTGTACAGACTGTAACCTTGGTGAACGCACATGTGCTTCAAAATACACCGTTGCGTGTCTCATTCGTGACTCTGAAAAAAGAGAGGAAAAATGCAGTGCAACTAACGACAAAATGGAATTGAAAAAACCTTATTTTCCAGTTTTCCGGTGGGAGGGGTTAAGGTGTGTCTATTAGCAGACGAATCTCGACCTTATCGATTGAAGCACTTCGGACAAAACATGAGTTACGTCGAGGAGCATATGCCACACACCAGCATTCTCCATCCAACCCTGTACTGAACAATCCTTTCCAGTTCTTTCCAGTTGATAATCATCTTTTCCATATCTGCTCCTATTCCACGTCGTAATGTGTTCATTGGCCTCCCTCTTTTCCGCTTCCCTTCCGGATTCCAAATAAGAAATTGACTTGTGATGCAGTTTAATGATTTCCTCAATGTATGTCCTATCCACTTCCATCATCTTTTCCTAAAATCCTCTTCAGCTGGAAGCTGGTTTGTCCTATCCCATAAAACGCTGTTGCTGATCGTATCCGGTCAGTGAATATTCAGTATTTTGCGTAAACAACTGTTTATAAATACTTGTACCTTCTTGACGATGATTGTAGTAGTTCTCCAGGTTTCCGGTCAATACAATAGGACTGTCTTGACGTTTGTATTGAGGATTCTCACTTTGAAGTTGGTTGAGTTGTTTTGAGTTCCATATGCTCTTCAAATGTAGGAATCCAGCCATTGCTTTACCAATCCTCGCCTTTACATCTGCATCCGATCCTTCTTGTTCATCAATGAGGCTTCCCAGGTACATAAATGTTTCCACCTCTTCAGAGTTTTTCCATCAAATGTGACTGGGTTAGCATTCTCCATGTTGTATTTGAGAATCTTGCTTTTTCCTTCGTATGTATTGAGGCCTAATGATGCGTAGGCTACTGCTGCATTAGTTATATTCGTCTGTATTTGTTCTTGTGTATGGGATAGGAGAGCTAGGTCATCTGCTAAGTTCAAATCATCTAATTGATTCTGAGACTTCCATTGTATACCGCGCTATCTCTCTGATGTCAGGATCTTCATGATCC